AGCTCTGGTATTACGCCATGTACGCAGTAAACCTAAACCTAACCTAAACCTAACCTAACCCTAATCCTAACCTCAAACCACTTCAATCACTCTTTCAATCACTATTCAATCTCCATTTTTCCCGGAATACAGTGTACTGGTGACATAAGTATAAGTTCAGTTTTTTACGAATATCTCGGAAACTAAGGCCGAGCGGCGGTAACATGTATAGGGAAAAGTTGTTCAGAATGATGACCTTGACAACATATTTCAAGGTCACGAAAATCGGTGAAGAGGACCAAATTTTTTTCGTAATTATTGAGATTAGGTTACACCTCACCGATTTTGATGAAATTTAAATATGTTGTAAAACTCAACATTTTGAACAACTTTTTCCTATACATATAACCACCGCTCGGCCATAGTTTTCGAGATTTTTTCTAAAACTGCTGCTACTACTACAATGAATTCTACGTATACCTATGGATGTACGGCGGCGTATGCGTCACCATCGGACCGCCGCTTATCTACTGTTTTCACAAAGGCATCGCGGCGGTCGAAAAGCCATGGATATAACGGATGACCTTTTTAACACCGTATTGACGGTTTATATTTGTTTAATCTATAGATACATATTGCCTCCGAAAAAGTTCAAAATCTAAAATCATCGGCACCCCCTCCCCATAAATTATAACCTAACCTAACTTAATTACCCTATTTACATATTTACACAGTTATGCATCCTCCTTCAATAGAATAATTAGGTAAGGTTAGGTTAGGTTATATTTTATGAGGCAGGTGTGAGGCCTCGCCCACGCCTTTAAGAATCCAATGCCTGCTATTCGTTCCGAAAAATTTGTTCTCCCGACTAACAATAAGTATGGTTTCGAAACAATTATTTGTTTTAAAACATTTACCCGTTACATATATCTATGGCTTTTCGCCACCGCAATGTATTTGTGAAAACAGTAGATAAGCGGCGGTCGGTTGCTGACGCATACGCCGCCGTACATGCATAGGTATACGTAGAATTCATTGTAGTAGTAGTAGCAGTTTTTTGAAAATATCTCGAAAACTAAGGCCGAGCGACGGTATATGTATAGGAAAAATTTGTTCAAAATGTTGAGTTTTATAACATATTTAAGTTTCATCAAAATCGGTGAGGTGTAACCTAATCTCAATAATTACCCCAGATTTTTGTAAATACATATGTCAATTATGCTTAGCATGGCAGTATACAGTGCTATTTAAAAGACACAAACTGTCTTCATTTTTTTTGTATATTTTTTAAAATTAAAAAACTAACATTTTGAAGGTTTTCTTTATACTAATAAATATTTCATCGGAAGCTACTCTAAATATCATATCCATCTGTTGTGTATGGAGAGAAACTTTACACCATAAGAGGTATAACTATTTTATTTAACACACGGCTTATTACATGTCCTCGACCGGGCTACCGAATCGTGCGAAGAAGACTCTCGCATTCTCTCGTTCGTGGAGAGGACACTCGCGTAAACATTATATACATGGCGCTCATTTGTCGCTAGTGTTATTATTTCGCGGTTAATTTAAACTATCTATAACACCATCTTTAAAAACTGAAAACATGTCAAGAACTGCAGTTTTTGATAAAAATCTGTAACAAAATATACGTATGTATCTGTGAAACCTTTCTCTACCACATACATACATAGACGTGTGTGCTCTTTCATGCAACAGGCGTGTAGAGTGGATAATAACGTGCACTCGATATTGCATTCCGGAAATATTGGAATTCGAATTTTCGACATAATAGTTCCGAACATTCACTTACTGTGTTTCATGCTTTTTCTATTACCCAAGACAATTTGCTTTGCTTAAAGAACGGTTTTATAACGAAAAACGATGATTTTTTAACTAGTAGATAATTTGGTGAGAGAGAGTTTATAGAGTGGTTGATGAATTATTCGGGTTAAAAATAATTATGGAATATTAATTTTTCTGTAACAAAATATTTTGTTATTTTTATCGTGTGATTTTGTATCTTTTCTATTTGTGAAAATCACATTCTAAAAATCACAGATTCTCTGTATCGTCGAAATCTCTCCAACATGGAGAGATCCCGTGTTTCAAAGAATAGGAACTAATATGTGTGAGGAGGAGGGTATATTAATAAATGAATTTAGACGATTTTGAGCCGAAATATTAATAATCGTTTATTGGCTCGGTACATGCTTATGGGGAAAAAGCCCGTCGGCATAAAAAACCCTTGTTTTCTTATTATTACGTTTCGCTTATATTAACGACCGGTGAAAGTGCATACGGTAAACGTTATCGTGTTTAATTATAACATCCGACCATGCAGGCCAGGCATACGCGTGTAATGTTTGACCATATAGGCCACGAGTATGAGTGTAATATTTGACCCTGTAAGCGAATGCGGGTCCGGGTGGTTACATGTAGTAACCAACCCGGTAGGTCGACGCTCGACAGCTTACATGATATCAGGGTTGAGTGTAATCGCGATCCGAACTGTAACAAGCTGCTTTTCAGACTAAATAATGCACGTCGATCGCCCGAGAACCTTCGCACGAAAGGGGCGGTGACCGAAAAGTTAGCTTTCGTTCTTACTTGCTCTCTTAAGCCGAGTATCCACCTGTATCAAACGCCCGTATCGTATCACCGTTCCGAACCCTTTTGAATAGGCAGACGTTGCCTCGTTGCATGCCACGGCGTGCTACGGCTCGGACAATATTTCTTCGTTTCTTGAAAGAAACTCCTATAGGCGAGAAGTTTCGATTTCCTGCATGCTGTTTCTTTATTGTAATTGTCCTAACCATATCGTGTTTGGTATCATTTTAATCAGAAAAACGTCACAAATATCTTGGTAAAAGTTTTATAAGAAAAAAATGAAAAATAACAAAGTTCAGTCATTGCATTAGTATTATCTCACTGATATATCCGATTCCAGATCATATTATCTCGAGCCTCAAGTGTCATGTTTCCACTTGACATAGCATTTCGGGCCTTCGCCTGGGTATGTTGTTTTTACGTTTCAAGTGGTCTCCGAACCTATGTTTTGAAGAGCAAGAAACCGACAATTTTCGGATCGGCCCGTTCCTTCACCTCCGTATCACAGCCCAATAGAACATTCGATACTCGGCAACGGAAAAATCTCTGGAAAATTAACATTGTCCTTTTTCAATAATCACAGAGGTTCTTATTAATATTGCTCTTTTATGTACAGCGTATCACCGAAGATAATTGATCTGTTTAAATATATTTAGACGATAAAATTTGTCTAAATTAAATTAGATTAAGTTCATAAATAATTTCATCGATTTTGAAATGAATCCAATAATACCGCAAGATTTCAAATAAATTGAAACCCAAGTGACGGCACGAAACGCTATCTCAAGTGCAAATGCATAAACCTTTCCTTCGATGCAACGGCAAAGAATCGACAAATTTTTCGGATAGGTCCGTTGCCTCCGTTCCTTTGGAACGGCACGCAGCAAAACGAAACTCCTCGCCTGTAGTGGCCCAGTCCTATTGCCGAACCGTTTCTATCAAGAAACGAAAAAATATTGTCCGAGCCGTAGCACGCCGTGGCATGCAACGAGGCAACGTCTGCCCATTCAAAAGGGTTCGGAACGGTGATACGATACGGGCGTTGGATACAGGTGGATACTCGGCTTTACTTGTCGTGAATGGCGATAACAAACCTTTAGATAATTTACGACATGGCCGTGCTTACGTTAGGACCGATCCTAGTGAAAACTAAACAAAGCCCTGCCTCGACTCGTATTTCGAGACATCGGCTGTCCACGGTGGTCTACGCACCGAACCACTTGAAGTCATAAACTACCTTCGGTCTCGACAAAAGTAAACGTCGACGGCCGAACATTCTCCTTGAGAAAACAAATCGAAAGTTTCTTTAACATTTAGCAACATCTGACTTCATTTTCGAGATATATCTCGGTATTTTTGTAACATGTTGAAAATATTTATTTCAAACACAGTAAGTGGAATTATTAATTGAAATAATCTTTTCATGTAGTATTAAAAATAATTATTTAACATCTAACACACTCAAGCAGGACTGGATTAAGATTTGTGGCGCTCCGGGGCTATAAAACTTTCAAAAGCCTGCTAATTTATTTTAAATAAAATTAAATAACATTTAATCGTAAAGAAAAAGGGCGATAATAAAAAAACATGTCATTCCACATTTAAAGGCTCAGAACGAGACGCCCTGAAAAGTGGAGTCCAGAGCTGCAACCCCTCTCATTGTTAAATCTCCCCTCGATCCAGCACTGCACAAGAAGGAAGAATACATCAGTGTATTAAAAAAATACACAGAAACCCAAAACATTATAAGTTGAATAATGTTTCAAATACATATAATTATTTAAAACGTCATTAAATTATTATAAGACTTTTTGTACCATTTGCGACCGCAGGTGTACAATTTTTGGCCATTTGTAGAATTGATAAGAATCCAGCATATCGTCTTTAGGACACATAGTAAGAATCACAGCACACAAATATTTATTACTGAATATATAATACAATATTTTTTATAAAAAAAATATCTTTTTCTACTTAATATAATGTAGCGTATACATTCTTATGTTACGAATTGCAAACATCATAGCAAATGTATAACAAATTCAACCTTCAATACAAATATGTAATACTTGAAATATTATTTTATAAAAAATGTAACATTTTCTAAATACAAAATTAATATTATTATTTTTATTTATTCAGTAACGAATTCACTAAAACTAACTGTTTGCGGTCGAACCCCGGGATATTTCCAACGAAATACCCATGTTTACAATAATTACGACCGCAAATAATTAAGAATAATTTTATTTGTTTCAATCGGTCGTCGGATTCGCGCAGCGTTTCAAATCAAACGATGGACAGTTCCCAAGAGTTCCAAGCAAATCCCAGGATTCGTATTATTTATCCTTCCCAATGAAAACGATCGTGAAAGGGTGTTGATGTTGATTCTGGTTTGTGTGTTACAGCAATTCGTGTGGAGCGAATTCTCCGAGGAATATAGACCAACCGAGCGCAGAGAGACTTTCTATCCGAGCGTGGTACTGGCCGATCGATTATACGAGCTAAAAATCACGGATTTACCGACAATCCCATACTTTCCGGTCAGCTCGCACCTCGAATGGACGGACTTCCGTTATTACGGCTTGCGAAGTGCGAACGCCTACGTGCTTGTGTTCGATCTCAGCAATCAGGACACCTTTCAGGTACGTAAGTACTGTATGCGTCCACTAAGTTGAGACTCGAGGCGACGCCTACCGTTCTTTTTCTCTGTCGATGCGTATACCTTTCTTTTTCTCTGTCACGCGACACACTTCATTTCTACTAGTAGTTGTAACCTAGTAAGCGAATAGCGAAAATGCGTGTGGGTCAACTGTATAAGTGTGCGTGTCTTAGCCTGGCCATCTAGCTCCGACCAATCAGACCCAATTCGTTAGGAGTCTCAACTTAGCAGACGCGTACAGTACATTTATTCTTTAAATCTGCAATCTTCAATAGCCAATAGGAGTGACGACCCAAGTCTGAATTGATTTTAAGGACCTCGTACGGCCAAATTGAGAAACTCTGGAATATCATTGTCTCTCCTGTACACAGTAAACTCTCGTTATATTACCACATGAACGATTTGACGCTCGTATGGATTTTAAAGCATACTAGTGTCACTCTTGCACCATTCATAGTCTATAAAAATAATACATTTCTATTTGATCTTTCCTCTCCAAATAAGAGCTTGGAAGCTTGATAAATTTTTCGCTTCTAGAGTCATATCGGGGGCAATATAACGAGAGTCTCCTATACAAAGAGAAGGACGGTAGTCAAACAGCCATGCTGATATAAAAGGGTTGAAATTTAACGATTCCGTAATTTAAAGATTGTAAGGCGAAGAAGCAATATTTTGTCATCATACTTTTTGAAAAATATTCTTTGTATAATTATACAACGGCGTACAGAGCTCGATTTTGCAATTTGGCTTTTGAAATTTTATAAAGATATATTTTTTTAGAAAATTAATTTTTACCATTTTTTCCCAAAAAGCACTCTATACGTCGATGAGTATACTTCTCTTCAGTATGAATATCATACTTAGGATGAGATTTTTTCAGAATTGGGTCCAGAAAAAATTAATTACTTTTTTATGTTTTACTTCTACTCCGCCAGAGGTGCCAAGGTCATTTCTATTGACCCTTAAGGGGATAGACATGGGTAATGCAGCGAGGTGACATTACTGGCAAAAATGGGCCTAAAAAGGGGTTTACGGGAATACACTTTTCGTCCTTATATGAGAAGATTTGGGGCTAGGTGAGGGCTCATTCGAAAGAGGAAGGTCCAATGCAGGGCGGTCTGGTCATGGTTCAACGAAATTGTGTTGATATCTAACAATATGAGTGTCCAAAGTAGAGGAAAAATCGACAAAATACATCCGCAAATTCCAAGTATCTTTTAGCAGTGCCGTAACGAGGGTATGAAGCGCCTGTGGCAAGTGTCTAACTTGTGCCTCCCCGTAACCCAATAATGACAAAAAAAATTAAAAATTTTAATGTAATAATTTAAATTTTACTAAATGCGATATATTAAATACTATTAACCTCATCAAAATGAGTTGCCTGTATATACAATAATGTATTTGTCAAGGTATTTATATGAATAAATATTCGTATTCAATGACGACAAACTAGAAGAAATACAAAACATAGGTATATGTTAAAATAATATAATGAAACAAAACAGTTCCTCATATTTTATAAAATCATTTTTCTCGCTTTTTCATTTGCAAACACATCTATTATGTCGTCATAATTTAATGTCTTGGCAACATCTTTTTCAATTGATATTATAGACATGTTTGTTAATCGCTCTTGTCCAATAGAAGAACGAAGGTACGATTTTACAATTTTTAATTTGCTAAACGAACGTTCGCAGGAAGCTGTTGTTACAGGCGTTGTTATGAAAATCCTTAATGCTATGTCTAGATATGGATACGTGTTTTGTAATGACAGTTTGTAATTTTTTTGCAAGATTTGAAAAGCGTCCATATCACCTAAATTTTCAAAAACTTCCATGGCTTGATATTTGAAACTCTCAATTTCACATACATACAAAGGTCTGTTGCACATCGTTTAAGATCATCTAGCGGCATTATTTGTAAAGCGTGTCCATTTAAAAAACTGAAGTCGTTTGCGACCTCATGCAAAGCAGTAAATCTGTCATTGAGTTGTATCAGTATTATATCTAAAACTTCACACATTTCTTTTTTATCCGACTTCGAAAAGGAGGCGGATACTCAATTCGATGTGTATATATATATATATATATTTTTTTTTTTTATGTATGTTCACCGATTACGCCGAGGCGGATGGACCAATCAGAACGAAACTTTTTGCATGTTGTTGAGTATAATTTCCGATTGGTACTGTAAAGAAACTATTTTGAATTTTTTCATTGCTAACGACTTTCATTGCAAATAGCAAAAAATCTACGCCTTCATGTTACTCTGCAAGGAATGTATCGTTCGCGATGAAACCTTTCATATTTAGTAGGATATACAGGGTGTCACGCGACTACCTCGACAGCCGAAGAGGGATGATTGATAAGGCGATTCTAAACAACTTTTTCCTTTGCCAAAATGTTGGTTAAGGCTTGATTTTCGAGTTATTAACAAAAAACACCGACCAATTCAAGCGCGTATAGCGCGCGGTTTCAGGGACTGCAATATCGGCTACGAAAACCGGGTCTGACGTGGATCGCGAACGAACGGCTTGGCACCCCGTTGGCGTAGTACAATAAAAAAACTGAACTGGTAGAACAGTTTTAGTCGTTGTTTGAACCTAATCTCTTGTTGCCTGCATTATATTGCGCGTGCGACGGCGCAACGTAAATTGGAATAATAGAAATTAGCTGATAGAGTTGCAATTAGATGGTTACAAAACTATAGCTAATTCCTTCTCCCGATTTTTGCGCGATGGTTAGGTATTCAGTGCCACCAGTCTTGAGCGCGTTTAACGTGGTTAAGCGTTCTCTACGCCCAAAACGATTAAAAGACGGAAAACGATGATGTTAGTTTTCAATAATTAGGTAATTAGTCTTTCGTTGGGTTCATCGGTGCTCTGGGTCCCGTACGGGTCCCTCCTTGAAACTATATGTGTTGGTAAGCGTGGTTTTAAGACTATGTGATGGTAGCTGTTTGAAATAAATGTGATACTGTTTAGATAAAGAAACTAGTTTAATTGCAAAATAATTTATTCTGTACAAAAGAAAATGGTAGAAAAAGTTCAATTTAGAAACTGAGTTGAATATGAGATTTTACTGAATTTAGAAAATCACCAGTTCTATGTAACAATGTTCATGAATTTTGATAAGTGTAAAGATGCTTATTGTATAGGTTGACAAATTAAATTATCCGCGGTAATAACACTTTGAGACACAATTTGAGGCGTATCGATGTTTTGACCGGACGTAACACGAGTATGTTAGATATAATTTCTACGAGGCGAGTTCGATCACGGTTCTGGGATAAGTGCCATGCCGTTCCTCATGGTCCTCCTACCAGAAGATGCAAGATCTTCCCCACTCTGTGGCCAGATCCTTCTAGAACACCCTTATCTTTTTACACGTGCCATGCAGCACCATGACTTCGGGTCATCGGCCACACGCGCGTTCCTTCGAGGATCGGCGATCGAACTCTCTATCGCCGTTCCATAAACAAAACATCCGCGACTCTTAGAATTTGTCGCACCTCAAATATCAACTACCGCCGGCCTAAGTCCGATGACAGACGTATGGCTCGGGGTATCGATAGCTTAAAGAATCCTGAGAAATCTTTGAAAAACAGGTCAAAGCCCCAAATGCAATGACCCTGCCACGTGTCAACCTTTGCACACGTGCTGACGCTAACAGGTACGACTATTTCGCCTTTATATCTGGATAACAATTCGTTGATTTGATAAAATAATTTTTAACAAAAAATACAACCGACTTCGAAATGCATTAAAAAGTATGAAATAATTTCTACTTCATTTATACAAATACCCAACAGCTATTAATAAAATCTATTTACTCGTTAAATCGTATACTAAATACATTTCAACTGTCGATGGTAGCAGAGCGTGGTTAAGGCAAATAAAATGATAGTGTGCACCACATGAGTAAAAGAGAAAAAAAATATATTCAGAACAAGCAAAAACGTTTTCTACAAGCACAAGGTCCAAGCGCAGAACTATCGAACATCGAGGGCGCGAAACGGAAGCGCCAAAACGGCGCCGCAAATTGGCGCGAGGATATCTAACGCATAGCGCGAATTTCAACACTCCCCCTTATCCGCGCGTCAATGAATCGCGCATGTTAATTTTGCATATTGAGTAACTTTACACACTTTAGATGTTTTATTTTTGGTAATGACTTAGTGAACATATCGGCTATCATATCATTTGTGCTTAGATACTCCACGCTAATGTTGCCATTTTCCTGTGCTTCACGTGAGTAGTGATACCTTATATCTACATGCTTACTTCTAGAATGGTGAACGCTATCCCTACATAGGGTTATTGCGCTCTGATTGTCGCAGAATACGGTCGATGCATCTGGTATGAATTCCTTAAGTTTAATATGGTACAGTAGTTCCCTTAAATATACGACTTCTTTCGTGACTTCTGAAAGCGCTATGTATTCGGCCTCCATAGTTGACAACGCAACGCATTTCTGCTTCCTTGTTCCCCAACTAATTGGACCACCCGCTAAGGTTACAACGTATCCAGTGCACGAATGTCTATCAACTACATCGCCTGCCCAGTCAGAGTCTACGTACGCTTGTAATTTGGTATTTCCTTTGGTATATGTTATCGCATAATCTGTTGTTCCGCGTAAATATCTTAATACGCGTTTTGCCTTTTGCCAATGACTTATGTCTGGATTATCACAAAATCGACTTAATGCACTCGCTGCAAATGCAATGTCTGGGCGTGTCGCGTTAGCCAGATATATTAAACTCCCTACTAACTCACGATATTGCTTTCCTCGAGTTTCTAATGTATTCTCGTCGGATTGTGAAGCATCCGCCTTTACAAATTTTTCATTTGGCTCCAACGGGGTTGCCGAAGGTTTACAATTATCCATTCCGAACCGTTTTAACAAATTTTCCGTGTATCGGCGCTGTGATATTTTCATGCTTCCATTTCCAGCTTCCCTATCAATATGCATACCTAAAATATCT